GGGTCTGGTGCAGGGAGCCCCCTGTGCACGGCCATCGCCCGGCTCCCGGCCCGGCTCCCGGCCCGGCCTGCTGGCCTTGGGCGGGCCGCTCTGGGCCGTGGGGAGGTGTGTGTGGGGGAGGCGGCTGCTCTGGGCGCTGTGGGCGGCCTGCAGCCTCCTGCTCTCCGCTCGCCGGGCGTCACTGCGTGGAGGCCCCTCCCGCGTGACACTAACCGTCCAGGATGGCCAGCTGTGCCCCAGGGGCCGGGGGGACCGGCCTGGGTGAGAGCCATCCCCGGATCAATCATAGCTGGTCCAGCTGGAAGCTGCATCTCACCGAGAGAAACTGAGGCTCGGCCACACGTGGTGTCCACCTCTGGGGCCAGAGGCCTGCGCCCTTGGGGGTCCCTGCTCACCCAGCACCTCCCAAGGCTGCAGCCCTCCAGCCCCATAACCGCAGCCCATTCCCGCACCCTCCTCACCGGCCCCCAAGCCCACGGCCACGCCTGCCGTGCCCCTCCTTACCCTGTGCCGGGCGAGGGCGCAGCAGTGGAGGCAACGGCCTGGCGCTAGCAGGGCAGAGGCTGCTGAAGTGGAGCCAGTGCTTGTCACTGACCAAGTGGGGCTGTGGCCCCGCCCCTCCCCGGCCCCGCCCCCCCTCCAGCCTCCAGCCCACAGATCGCCACGTGGGCTCTGACCAGGGTCACCTACCCACTGGCCGGCGGGCCCCGAGGGGGCTGAGGGGGCTCAGTAAAGGAACAGGGGGATCTCCCAACACCACGAAACGTGCCAGGGACAGGTGAGGGCCCCACGGAGCCTGGCCTGGCTACGGGCTTCCTGTCACCTGGGTCTCACCGGGCGGGGGCATGGCAGGGGGTGGCATCGGCTCTGGGAGAAGAGGCTGGGCAGGCACGGGGCAGGCACTCCGGGCAGCCGCCCCCCGGCTGGTTCCTGGCTCCGGGGCCACTTTGCTGTGGTGGGGGCTACAGACACATACCCCACCCCACCCCGCCCACCGTCCGTCCTTCCCTCTGGACTCATAATCAGTCAACAAAAGCAGACGAACAGGAGGGAATTGTGCTTTGATGTTTGCACATGGGCGTCCAATACACACGGGAAGTGCACACAGTGAGGCCAGGCGTGACATTTTGGACGCTGCATGCATTATCTCCTGTACAGTCCTCCATGGAGCCTCCTCAGTCCAAAATGTCACCCATATAACCGTGATCATCGGCTCCGAAGAGGACACAGAGGGTCAGAGAGGCCCCTGCCCCCGCAATATGGGAGCCTCGGGGTGCTCACTGCAGGGTTTCTGGTTCCAACGCCCAGGCTCCCCCGTCGCCCTTCAGAACGCAACTGGGGGCAGGGACAGAAATAACGGGGGCGGGGCGGTGTCTGGCTGCGGCCTGGCCTGATGCCCTTCTGCTCAGTCCTTACTGAGTCTGGTCTCCTTTTATAAGATTTCGTGTTGGGCTCTGGCTGGCCGCACGGTGGCTAGACAACCATACACCGCACACAGGGCTTCCCGGTTCACCCAGTCCCCAACTGCTCTGTGCAGAGTTATTCCGACGGCATGACCTGCCCACAGCTCAGTCCCTCTGCCTCTCCGCCCGTCCCCTCGCCCCTCCCCACCCCGTCCCCTCGCCCCTCCGCTGGCAGCCACTGCCCTGGCCTCTGTGGCTACGAGTCCGTATCAGTTTGGATTGTCCTTGATTCCACGTTTCCACGTGGAAAGGCGATCATGTGATTTTGTCCTTCCGACTGACGGCTTATGCCCTCCAGGCCCATCTATGATGTCACAAAGGGGAAGATTTCACTCTTGAGGGGCATCCACGTGGCCGTGGGCGGAGCCGGGCCTGCCGCAGGGCGGGCTCTGTCCATGCCGCCTCCGTGCCCAGAGGAGCCGCCGCTGTCCTTCCACTGACTGTCTGGCTTCCTCACATCCGCCCCACAGGCGGGTCACTGGGCCAGAAGGCTCCGTTCTGAGTGTGCGGAGCAAGCTCCATGCTGCTGTCCACGTGGCCACGCCCGTCGCCACCTCGTCCACCCCTCCCCCGCCCCCCGCCCCAGTGCTCGAGGCTCCCTTTGCCCCCCGCCCCCCGCCAGCGCCTGTTTGTGGATCTACTGATGACGTAGGATAAACAGCTCACACTCACCCCCCAGAGCCAGCTTAGGCCGGCCAGCTCTGGTTCCCTACGCTGCAGCCAGGGGTTCACGCCGCCACGGGCCACGGGCCACGGGCCACATTCCGGCGGAAACTGAGGGGTTCAGAGTCTCAGTGGGACTGCGGTGAGGAGCCCCTGACAGCACCCGTGGTGGAACGAGGCTCCGAAGCACCAGGGACCTCTCTGAGCTGTGACAAGGGACGGAGTGGCCGTGGCCGTGGCCGTGGCCGTGTCCGGGCGGCTGGCGTGAGGGCCGGGCCCACACAGAGCGGGCGGTCTGAGCCCCCACTGCTCTGCCTCTGCCTGCCCCGACTTTCAGAACACCTCCAAGGTGCTGCTGCTGGCTCAAGCCTTTTATTTTATTTTATTTTATTTTAATATATGTGAATTTCAGAGAGGAAGGGAGAGGGAGAGAGAGAGAGAAGCATCAATGAGGAGATGATCATTGATTGGCTGCTGGGGATGGAGCCCACAACCTGGGCATGTGCCCTGACCGGGAATCGAACCCGTAGCCTCTTGATTCCTGAGTTGACGCTCAACCCGTCAAGAGCTTCCCTCCTCCCGGAGGCCCTCCCGCTTCCTGGTCATCAGCAGCCTGACGAGTAACCGCGTGTGGGACGAGGGCGAGTGACGAGGGAAACATGGTGCCCTCTCCCGCCCCCATCGCCTCCCACTCCACCGCAGGGGGTCCAGGCTACACCCCCCCAACACACACACACGCACACACACACACACACACACACCCGTGCTCACAGAGCGCCCACCCCTCGGCCTCCCCTCCGAGGACAGACGGCCTGTTCCCCCTGCAGAGAACTCTGCCTCACGGACACACGCCCTGCGAGCACGGAGCACGGGCCCCAGAGCGGCCTCACCCATGTGACCGGCGAGTGACCGGGGGAGTGACTGGGGAGTGACCGGGGGAGTGACCGGGGGAGGAGTGACCGGGGGAGGAGTGACAGGGGAGTGACCGGGGGAGTGACCGGGGGAGGAGTGACCGGGGAGTGACCGGGGGAGGAGTGACCGGGGGAGGAGTGACCAGGGGAGGAGTGACCGGGGGAGTGACCGGGGGAGGAGTGACCGGGGGAGTGACCGGGGGAGGAGTGACAGGGGAGTGACCCGGGGAGTGACTGGGGGAGGAGTGACCGGGGGAGGAGTGACCTGGGGAGGAGTGACCGGGGAGTGACCGGGGTAGTGACCGGGGGAGGAGTGACCGGGGGAGGAGTGACCGGGGGAGCCGCGGAATGACGGCCCGGCCGCTCCTGGGGACAGCGTCCGCCCCGAGCCTCCGTGCATTTGCTTTCCCGAGGCTCCAAAGGGTATCTGGCTACGAGGGCGGAACTCGATGGTCACCATCACCATCGGTCCCGGGCTGGAGGGATGGGGGGCAGAGCACACAGCCGGGCCGTGCTCACAGCCTCTCCTCCCCTCACTCACAGACCCCCCTCCCCACCCCACTCACCCCGCCAGGAGCCTGGGCCTCAGCCACTGTCACACCCTGTGATCCGCCCGAGGGCCAGGGAGTGGAATGACAGGCCCAGGGAGTGGGGTGACAGGCCCAGGGAGTGGGGTGACAGGCCCAGGGAGTGGGGGGACTGGGCCCAGGTAGAGGGGTGACAGGCCCAGGGAGTGGGGTGACAGGCCCAGGGAGTGGGGGGACTGGGCCCAGGTAGAGGGGTGACAGGCCCAGGGAGTGGGGTGACAGGCCCAGGGAGTGGGGGGACTTGGCCCAGGTAGAGGGGTGACAGGGCCCAGGGAGTGGGGGGACTGGGCCCAGGGAGTGGGGGGACTGGGCCCAGGTAGTGGGGTGACAGGGCCCAGGGAGTGGGGAGACAGGCCCAGGGAGTGGGGGGACTGGGCCCAGGGAGTGGGGGGACAGGCCCAGGTAGAGGGGTGACAGGCCCAGGGAGTGGGGGGACAGGCCCAGGGAGTGGGGTGACAGGCCCAGGGAGTGGGGGGACTGGGCCCAGGGAGTGGGGTGTGCAGCCCGGTAGTGGGGTGTCAGGGCCCTGTCTTCGCGATGCTCCGTCTGATGGGGCCGCAGGAGAGTGTGGCGCAGGGTGCGTTGCTGGAAGAGAGGAGGCATGGATGGCCCGGAGGAATGCAGACCTCAGAGGGGAGGCCAGCCCCCGTCCCCTCCGCTCCCTTCCCCAGCCCTGCCTCCGCGGCCGCTCCGTCCCCACGGCCAGCCCCTCCCCGCACGGGGCGGCTCGGTCAGAGAGCCCGCACGCAGTGGCTGGAGCACCGTGACCCCAACAGTGCTCGGTGCTGGGGTGTCTCCGCAGACCCCGAGTCTCGTAAAACCGGGGTGCGCCTGAGACCCCCGTCTCCGACCCTGAGAACGCCAGGCCGCCGGAGCAGCGGGCGTGGGCACTTCCTGGTTTGGGACGAACACGGGGGCGGCCGCCCGCCTCCTCCCGGGGGAGGGTCCAGGCTTCTCCTCCTAGATTCTGGGGGACCCTCCCCACGAGTCACCCACACCCCAGACAGTCTGCCTGGGCCAGCCCCGATGGCGCTGCTGGGGAAACCGAGGCCTCCAAGGGGAGGGACTGGCCCGAGGCCCAGAGCTGTCAGGAGAGCAGGGCTGAGAGCAGCCCCACTGGAACCGGCTCCTCCTCTCGGCGGAGCACCCGGACCACCATGGCCTCGCCCTGGGGAGAGGCTGCCCCTCCAGGGACCAGGCCGGGAGGTGTTCTCCCTGCCAGGGCCCTTGGCGTCCCCCCTGCCCACCCCCTTCGGGAGCAAGGCGCCACCTGCCGGGTGGCTGTCTGCCCGCACCCCCTTCCCCCCCGCACACACCGCACCAACCCCCTCGGCCCCGAGTCTGGGACCAGGTCCGCAGGCTGTGCAGGGCCGACCCAGAGGGACGGGAAAGGCGTGCATTTATTAAGTGTTTGCTGTGTACAAGGCGCTGGGCCAGGCTCCTCACCATCAGTCTGTTTAATGCACACAGCCACCCTCAGACGGAGCGGGCGAGGCAGGGGTGGGGTGGGGGGGCAGGGGGTGGTCTCCCGCCTCCCAGCAGACACTCACTGAAGGGGTGGCAGGGGTGCTGAGCCTGCATGGCCGTGGGGGCCGCGTGTCCAGTCCACACCGCCTGGTCCCCCCACTCCCCTCCCGCCTCCAGCAGCTTCTGCCCGGACCCAGCACCACTGCCCCCGGGCCAGCCCTGCAGACAGCAGCCCGGCGGGGCTAGGGCTGCGTGGGGTTGACGATCTTGCCCAGGAAGAGGACGCTCTGGGTGTCGGCGGAGAGGATGGCCAGCAGGAAGGGCCGGTTGAACTTGAGGATGCGGGGGGTGTGCACAGCGGAGAAGAAGGTGATGGACAGGCTGGTGGCCGCGGCAGCCTCGGTGCCGGCCTCGTCCACGTCCAGCACGGCCTTGTGGACACTCTGCGGGGAGTCACAGCGAGAGGCCTGAGCGGCCGAGGGGCCAAGGGGACAGAGACCCCCGGACAGCCGGACGGAGCCCCACAGCCCCTGGGGTCTCCCAGCAGAATCTCCAGGGGCAGGTGGTTGGCTGCTGGCTCTTAGCCACACCATAACGAGTGCCCTTCCCTGAGCACTTCCTGTCCCAGCACTTGCTAATCTTTTTCTTCTTTTTGTTTGTTTGTTTGTTAATCTTCACCCAAGGATATTTTTCCAATGATTCTCAGAGAGAGTGGAAGCGAGGGGTGGGGGGGGGGGGGAGAGAGAGAGAAACATCAATGTGAGAGAGACACATCGATTGGGTGCCTCCCACATGAGCCCTGACCAGGTACACACCCTTGACCGACATCGAACCCGGGGCCTTTCAGTCCAGAGGCTGATGCTCTATCCACTGAGCAAACCGGCTCTCTAATCTCCTAAGCCTCCCTGCAAGGACACGCAGACCAGGGAATGGGTGAGGCCTAAGAGGGGGACTGGGACTCAGCCCCTCAGCCCATGGCTCTGCCCTCTGCGCCCTCGTCCTCCATGCCGCAGCCGCAGCCTCCCCTCTGGGCGCTCCGGCCGCGCCGCCCGCCGCCCCGCTCCCCTACCCGCGTGGCATTGCCGCTGCCGCTGTGAGCGAAGGTGGCGGGAGCGCCCTCCGAGGAGCGCCTCTCCCAGCACCTCAGCACTGGCGGGGGCTCCTGGGCGCCAGGTGATTGTCACAGGGGCTCTGAGGTCACACGGGGCGCCCTGGCCCACAGCCGAGCCGGGCGCTGAGCCGCTGGCCGCTCACCTTGGACACCAGCAGGTTGTCCTGGGCCGCGATGCCCGACAGGTTGGCCCGCTGGGTAAACAGGTCCTGGATGCCCAGCTGCGGCAGCAGCTCGTCTAAGTTGTAGGAGCCGGAGGCGGAGAACTTGGGCAGATACAGCCAGAGCTTCCGGTAGTAGGCCCTGAAAGAGGCGGGGTGAGCACCCAGCAGGCTCCCCGGGGTCACACCGCACCGCCCGCTGTCACCCAGCGCTCCCGGGGCTCCTCTCCCACAGAGGGCGCTTTCTGTGGGGGCCAGGCGCCCGGGGAGAAGGCCCCTCCGGAGGCCCCGCCTGGGCGCTGCTGGGCCCCCGGCCTCACTTCTTCGGGACCCGATGGTGCCACAGACCGCGTGCCCGGCCACAGGAATGGGGGGGGGTCTCCATCACACGCGCCTCCTGGAGGTCCCTCCTTACACTCAGCCCTCCCTGCACTCCCTGCTGCTGGGTGGGCGGCTGGGTTTCCTGACCCCAAGGGGCCGTCAGCCCTCCTGACGGACGGAGGTGCCCCCCTGGTGCAGGGCGGGCCCTCCGAGGCTGGCGAGGACTGCACCCCGCGCCCCGGCCCGCCACGGGGAGGACAGTGGTGCGGAGGCGGAGGCGGCAGGGAGGTCACCGCTGAAAGCCCCCTCCGTCCCCCGGGCGGTCTCCCCGCGAAGGGACCGCGCCCCGAGCCGGCACGGCCGGCGTGGACACGGCTTCTGCTCGCAGGCCCGCGGGCGCTGCCCCTCACCGGGGCCGGTGCCGGTACCTCTTCTGCAGCAAGCGGCTCCACCTGCGGAGCATGCCCGGCGTCAGCACCGCCTCCACCTGCGCCATCTTCCCGCTGTCGGGCAGCACCAGCAGGGCCCGGGCGCCGCCCTGGTAGTCCAGCCGGAGCACCGAGCAGGGCACGTGCTGGTCGCGCAGGTACCAGTGGCTGTCCTGCTCCTGGAACATCATGGGCACCTTGACCACCGTGTGCTCGTCCACGTGGAAGTCCTGGGGGGCGGTCCTGGAGCGGCCAAAGGGGCTCTTCCACCGGCCTGCGGGGGAGAGCACAGGTGTCCGCGGCCGGCCGGCCCTCCTCCCGCCGGGGCGGCCCCTTGGCCACTCGGACCCCCGCCTTCCGGCTCAGTGGGGCCCCCTTGGTGGTGTGTATATTCTGCATTTAAATTACGCTTTAAAAGGAAGAGTCAGTATAATAGTGTGCGGCAACTAACACAAGATCTAAATAAAGTTTTCCATATCATAAAACCGCACATGTGTACATGTGCGCAAACACACACACACGCATGCATGCATGCATGCAAAACCAGCAAAATCTGAATAAAGCCTGTCGATTGTACTAATGTACAAACATGTATGTAACATGTTATCGAGGGGAATCTGGGGGAAAGGTCCATGGAGCACTCTGTACTACTGTTGCAACTTCCTATGAGTTGCCAGCGTTCGCAGAATTTGGACGGTTTTTTAAAGTTTTCGGCAGTGCGTGAACCTTCTCGTGTGACAGTCATGTGATGTCAGACTGGGCCGGCCCGGCAGCCAGGACCGCTTTGGAGCTCGGCACTTGGTGCCTGGCCTCTGGGCTCCTGATGGGCTCTAACTGGTCACCTGCACCGCTGGCTTCTCTGTCCCTCACCTCCCTCTTCCTCCAGCTGCTCATTCCTCCTCCTCCTCCCGCCCCCCCCACACACACACAACCCTGCAAGCTCTCATTCCCCCAACCCTCCCGCTGAGCCCACGGAAGGAACCTGACTGACACACAACTGTCTCCCCACACGGGGATTCCAACCGTGTTCATACGTGTGTGTGAGCCAAAGACGGGAAACAGTCATGCTACAGTGCTAACATCCATCGCCTCAGGGTGGTAGAGGGCTAGGCAATTTCTATGTTCTCTTTTAGCATTTAAAAAATATTTTATGTATTTCAGAGAGGAAGGGAGAGGGAGAGGGAGATAGAGACATCCATGATGAGAGAATCACTGATCGGCTGCCTCCTGCATATCCCCTGCTGGGGATCGAGCCTGCAGCCCGGGCCTGTGCCCAGACGGGGAATCGAACCGTGACCTCCTGGTTCGTAGGTGGACACACAACCACTGAGCCAGGCCGGCTGGCTGCACTTGTAAAGGTTTTCTATTGTAAAAGAGCATCAATATCATTAGAGTAATTACAATTACTGTGATTATTTGTTGAGTATGTGTAGTGATCAGGGGGCAGGCAAACTTCCTTTGCAAAGGGCCAGGAAGTAAATACCTTGGGCTTCACAGGTCGTCCAGTCGGTATAGCCATGGCGTGTGTGTGTGTGTGTGTGTGTGTGTGTGTGTGTGAGAGAGAGAGAGAGAGAGAGCAGCCAGGGGCAATGCCTGCATGAATGGGCATGGCTGTGTGCCAGGAAAACTTTACTGACGGAAACCCATCAGATCCGGCCATGGGCTGTAGTTTACATGTTTGTAAACACCCCCTCCCAAGGTGTTTACAAACATGTGATGTCATGTGCTCCGCAAAAACAAAACTGAAGAGGGACTCTTACTACCTACCCTTCCTTCACAAGAGCAGCCCGCGCTGTTCACACCGTGGGAAGGGGCAGAGCTACAACATAAACTTAGACCTTCAACTCTCCACCCTTGGCCATACGCCTTCATAAATCACTGTCATTCAGAGGAAGAAAGTAAGTCTCAAGGTATGAAGAGATGGAACCTCAATACTCCACAATCTTAAACATCGGAAAGTTTTCTTCTAAGGCATGCTTGGCCCTACCAGACCCAACCCATCCACTTTCTTTTATTAAAAATACCTCACGTATCATCCGAACCAGGAGGTCCCGGTTTGATTCCCAGTCAGGGCACAGGCCTGGGTTTCGGGCTCAGTCCCCTAGGGGGCGTGAGGGAGGCAGCTGATCAGTGCTTCTCTCTCATCATGGTTGCTTCTCTCTCTTCCTCTCCCTTCCTCTCTGAAATCCATAAAAACGTATTTTAACAACATACTTAACTGTAGAGGGCCCCTTGGGAATGCACATGGATGACCTTTAAAATAACGTCAGCTGAGTCCGAGGTGACTGGCATGGCCATCCCCCGGAAACAGCCTCCCAAAACGTCAGAGACCGTTATCAGTACCGATTTCTCACCTTTATCCATGTGCTTGGAATGAGGAACGAATAGGACCCTGACTTACCCAGGTCTTAATATGCTAAATCCCAGGAATGAGGGAATGGACAGGACCTGGGCACACCCAAAACTCCTTTGACCTTAACCCCCTCTGGAAATCAATAAACGTGCTGTGTTGTCTGTGGTGGATGGTGACTGTCCCTCCATCAGAGTGACAGCCTCCCACCTGGCACCCAGCTTTTGGGTCTATTTCTGCCTCTTGTCTCTTTCTTTTATTTCTTAATCCCCAGCTCCTCCACTCAGGAACCGGTCCTTCCCCCTTTCCGTGCGGGACGCGGAACAAGGAGAAGCACCCACCGCACTTACCTGTATTAGTGACCCAACGGGGGGAATACAGGCTCGACCCGAGGCAGCAGCGGTGGACGCTCACCTTTGAAGTAGATGTAGTTCACCAGCACCATCACGGTGTCGGTACTGAGGCTGCCGACCACGCTGTCGATCTTGCCGTGCGTCTCCTCCCGGACGTGGCTGTTGATGAGCCGGGCGGCGGCCTCGGGCTCCAGGAAGTCGGCGGGGAAGGGCTGGGCCCCGTAGAAGGTGGCCGTGAGGTTGAGGAAGCTTGGCCGGAGCGTCAGGGCCTGGCTCAGGAAGAGGGCGCTGCCCACGCGGGTCTCCAGCGAGCCGCGGGGCCGGTTGAGCGTGAGCAGCAGGTGCTGGAAGCCGCGGTGGATGTCCGGGGCGGACGTGTTGGAGAGGTTGAAGGCCAGGCCCTCCAGGATCTGGGCCCGGGTGTCGGCGCCGGCGCCCAGGGCCAGCATGGCGTAGGCGGCCGAGATGCTCAGCGGGGAGAAGAAGACGTTGCTCCCCGGGTTGAGGGCGGCCACCAGGTGGTAGAAGTTGAAGGCGAAGGCGGCGTTGCCGGGGGCGATCCTGAGGCTGGGGGCGCCCTCCTCGGCGCCGGGACCCCCCGGGGGGCCGTCGGCCTGGCCTCGGCCGCCGTGGGAGAGGGCCAGCAGCCCCAGCAGCATGATCAGCAGGCGGGGTGCGCGCCGCATCTTCTGCCGGTTCCGGTCTGCGGGGGGCGTCTGACTGAGAGTGCCCCCTGAGAGGTCAGCCGGGGCAGGCGGGCGGAAGACAGCCCTGGCTGGTGTGGCTCAGCGGATAGAGTGTCGGTCTGTGGACTGAGGGGTTCAGGGTTCAGTTCCCGGTCAGGGCACCCGCCTGGGTTGCAGGCTTGCTCCCCAGGGTGGGGCGTGCAGGAGGCAGCTGATCCGTGATTCTCTCTCATCATGGATGTTTCTCTCTCCCTCTGTCTCCCTTCCTCTCTGAAATCAATTAAAAAGGACAGGCTATCGAGAACCTGGCCCCCTCCCGCGTGGTGGTGGAGGTCCTCCCGCCGGCCTCTCCTGTGCCCACTGCCCCCTGCTCCCCCCCGGCCCCCGCGCTGCGAGCGCCCCAGGGCACTGAATCCGGAGATGGGGCAGCAGAGGTGCCACAGCCACCTCACCGCCGGGACCACAGAGCTGGGACAGGTCCCCCACCCTCCCCGGGCGCCTTCCCTGCACCCAGGGTGCCCGTCACCAGCGGCCGTTCCAGCACCTGCTCCCCCCCAACCACACACACAGAATTGCTGGGCCCTCCGGGCGCCCCTCCTGCCCAGTGGAGCCGCAGACTGGATGGGAGGGCGGCTGCCGCGGCGAGGAAATATTTGCTCAGAGTCAGCGGACCTGCTCCTCCTCAGGAGACCCAACTGGCCAGGCAGGGCCTGGTTTTCACCCCAAAGCCACCCGTGACCCCACCATTATCCGGCTCTCAGCCCCCCAAACCCAGCTGTCATCTCTGACCTCAGCCTGGCCTCTCACCCACCCGCACCCTCCACCGAGCCATCCACCCACCTGCACCCGCCGCCGGGCCTCCCACCCACCCACCCACCTGCACCCGCCGCCGGGCCTCCCACCCACCCACCCACCCACCCACACCCGCCGCCAGGCCTCCCACCCACCCACCCACCCACCTGCACCTGCCGCCGGGCCTCCCACCCACCCACCCACCCACCTGCACTCGCCGCCGGGCCTCCCATCCACCCACCCACCCACCTGCAACCTGCCACCGAGCCTCCCACCCACCCACCCGCACCCGCCGCCGGGCCTCCCACCCACCCACCCACCCACCTGCACTCGCCACCCGGGCCTCCCACCCATCCACCCACCCACCTGCAGCCGCCGCCGGGCCTCCCACCCACCCACCCACCCACCTGCACTCGCCGCCGGGCCTCCCACCCACCCACCCACCCACCTGCACTCGCCACCGGGCCTCCCACCCATCCACCCACCCACCTGCAGTCGCCGCCGGGCCTCCCACCCACCCACCCACCCACCTGCACTCGCCGCCGGGCCTCCCACCACCTGCATTGCCCATGGGGTCTTCCACCCACCTGCACCCGCCAGGCCATGCTCCGTGCCCCCACCTGGCCGCCCCCCCCCAGGACCCATGCCAATCCTCAGCCTCCTGCACCCAGGGCTGGGCCCAACCCGTCCAGGCAGCCGGCCACGCCGTGGCTCCCGGGCCAGAGTGTCACCGTGGCGGCTGCTCACCTCCCCTCGGCAGCTGGGGACCCGCCAGACAAGGCCGCTCAGGCCGTGACCGCATCCAGGACAGTACTTGGGGGCAGAGGCCTGAATCAGGCCCTTGGATAACATATTAATACAATAGCGTCCGCTCTGGCTTTCCAGCCATTTGGCAGCGTTCGTGTCAGAGAGTCCGGGTGCAGCCTCTGTCCTAGCCCTGGCCCCACGGGAGCGGATGGCCACCCTGGCCCTGCCCGGCCACGGTCCCCGCAGCCCTGGCCGCCCCGCTCCCGCAGCCCCCGCAGCCCTGGCCGCCCCGCGCCCTGCAGCCCCCGCAGCCCTGGCCGCCCCGCTCCCCGCAGCCCTGGCCGCCCCGCTCCCCGCAGCCCTGGCCGCCCCGCTCCCCGCGGCCCCCGCAGCCCTGGCCGCCCCGCTCCCCGCAGTCCCCGCGGCCCTGGCCGCCCCGCTCCCGCGGCCCTGGCCGCCCCGCTCCCCGCAGCCCCCCGCAGCCCTGGCCGCCCCGCTCCCCGCGGCCCTGGCCGCCCCGCTCCCCCGGCCCCCGCAGCCTGGCCGCCCCGCTCCCCGCGGCCCCCGCAGCCTGGCCGCCCCGCTCCCCGCGGCCCCCGCAGCCCTGGCCGCCCCGCTCCCCGCAGCCCTTGGCCGCCCCGCTCCCCGCAGCCCCCGCAGCCCTGGCCGCCCCGCTCCCCGCGGCCCTGGCCACCCAGAATCAGCTCCCAGGCTCCCAGCTGCTCACCCGCCCAGCGGCCCCCCCACACACACACACAGGGCTCCTGCCGCCCATCCCACTCCTCCCGCCCCACCCTCAGAGCTGCTCAGCGGCCTGGCGGGCTGACTGATCAGCAGGCCTCCCGCAGCCATCGGGATCAGCAAGACCTGGCTCCCTGCCTGCAGCCCAGGGAGGCTGCCTGGGGGCGGGCGCACACCGGAGGGCCCAGCCTTCGGCTCTGCCGAGCCCGGAGGGCAGACACTGCCCCTCTCCCGCCTCCCGGCTTTGGCCGTGGACGGTCCGGCGGCAGGAGGGTCCTCAGGCCGTGGCTCCTGAACTCCTAGCGCAGGTCCAGGGTGGCCACCGCCCGGCCTACCACTTCTCCCTGCGAGCTCTCTCCTCGGCCGCCCACCGCGGTCCCCCCACCTCTGAGCGCGGCCCTGAGCCTTAAGACCCCTCTGCTGAGGCGGGACCCCCCAATCCAGGCCACGTGCCCTTATCCACACTGCAGTCCCCGCCCAGGAACCCCACCCCTCCCCGCCTCCGCCCCGGACCCCCTCCCCCTTCCCCCCTCCCCTCTCCCCACCTCCTCCCCGGACCCCCTCCCCGCTCCCCCCTCCCCCCTCCCCACCTCCGCCCCGGACCCCCTCCCCCCTCCCAACCTCCTCCCCGGACCCCCTCCCCCCTCCCCCCTCCCCCCTCCCCACCTCCGCCCCGGACCCCCTCCCCCTTCCCAACCTCCGCCCCGGACCCCCTCCCCCCTCCCAACCTCCTCCCCGTACCCCCTCCCTCCTCCCCCCTCCCCCTCCCCACCTCCGCCCCGGACCCCCTCCCCCTTCCCCCTCCCCTCTCCCCACCTCCGCCCCGGACCCCCTCCCCCCCTCCCCCCCTCCGCCCCGGACCCCCTCCCCCCTCCCAACCTCCTCCCCGGACCCCCTCCCCCCTCCCCACCTCCGCCCCGGGACCCCTCCCCCCTCCCCTCTCCCCACCTCTGCCCTGGGACCCCCTCGGTTCTCCCGAGCAGGTCCCTGCCTGCCCAGGCTCCTTCCCAGTTTGGTCAGAGAAATCCTCAGATGCCCCTGCAGGTCTGTGTCTCTCAGGCCCACGGCGCCGAGGGCCGGGTCCCAGCCCGCCCCCTCCCCCCATGGGGCCGCAGGGTCACTCACGCTGTGGCTCCGGCTCTGCCGTCCGCTCTG